CCCCAATGAGCTGTGACTCTTGCCAACTTCCACAGGCACTTTGTCTGCTTACAGACAGTGGGGTTTTAATGGTGTTGCCTTCTGCCTCTCTTTAACACTCCCACATCCTCAGTAACGGGTGCATCTTTTTTGCCTTTAAAACAGGATGGAGAGAACAGATCACTGATGGATCTCCATCCAGGTCTGCTGTATTTGGTGAGCATGGCTGGCAAATGGTTTCTCTGCACTAGAATACAAAATACTCTAGAAAGTTGTCATGAGGAAAAAAACACAAGAGGGAAAGAAGTCCTTCCTCTACTGAACTAAAGCCTGAGGTGACCAGCTCTAACGGCACATTCAAATGGACGGTTTGCAGTGCAAACACAGTACACATCATGAGTCGGAAATCGGAAAATTGCCTCAAGTCAACCTTCTTCTGTCCAGACAAAAAAAAAAACAAAAAAAAACTTTACTGCAACACTAAGCTCTTAGAAGGATTACTCCACTGTGGTTACCCTAGCCATAATGTGCATCTAAAGGCAAGCAAAACACCCAATTACAGGGCAATAGCCTATAATTAGGGCTGCGATTTGATGAAGGCATGTTAGGATAACTCAGAAAATGGTCATTTCACAAAGAGCAACAGCAAATAGAAATATCACCATTATTTTGTGTCTAGAGTAACCTTTATTTTATTGGAGTAGCAGTGTTATGGTCAGTGTGTTGCAGTCAAGAATCTCCATAGCAGAATCAACTGTCTTGCAGCAAATGGATAAGAACCACAAATTCAACAACAGGTTTGCTTTATATCCTGTGCACAGGCAGGAGAGAAAAGCAGCCCACCTCATAGAATCATAGAATCATTTGGTTGGAAAAGACCTTTAAGATCATGAAGTCCAACCGTAGCTGCCCACTACTAAACCATGTGTCTAAGCACCTCATTTACCCATCTTTTAAATACCTCCAGGGATGGGGACTCAACCACTGGGTAACCCGTTCCAGTGCACACTAACCCTTTCAGTGAAGAAGCCTCGGAGAGTCCTAACTTTCAATCCTCTGCCCTGGATTCATAGAATCATAGAATCATAGAATGTTTTGGGTTGGAAGGGACCCCTAGAGGTCATCTAGTCCAACCCCCCTGCAGTGAGCAGGGACACCGCTAACTAGATCAGGTTGCTCAGAGCCCCATCCAACCTGG